TGTGGTGGGGTGTGGTGTGGTGTGGTGGGGTGGGGTGGGGTGGGGTGGGGTGGGGTGGGGTGGGGTGGGGTGGGGTGGGGTGGGGTGGGGTGGGGTGGGGTGGCGCTCGTGGCTTTAAAAGGCCCTAGAAGGTGTTGTGTCTTCATCTTCCTACCTCCACACCTCCCCTCCCGCGCAGCTGTTAAATCCCCCGAGTTGCCCCATGACCAACCTGCCGCCCGTTCCATCACAAAACCTAAACCCATCCGAGCCCTGGACTTTATCTCCCCCCCCGCCGACTGTACGACCCTCTCTCCCCTCCTTCTTCCCCACACGCACACAACCCCCCCCCCTACCACACGCAGCGCATCAAGGCCTCCGAAGCCGACGCTCTGCTGCTCCCCGGCGGCCCCCCGGGTCGTGATGGCCAGCTGGGGCCCAGAGACCTGGACCTGTCCCAACAGCTGGGGGGGATCACCGCACAGCCGCAAAAGATGTACACGGATATGCACGAGGCGGCGTGTATGGCCGTGATTAAGGTGCGGGGGAGAGGGGATGGGGGGAAGGGGGGAAAGCGTTGGCAGTGCATTCACCTTTCCTGAATTGATTGACATTACCTCATTGCCGATGACATACAGGCAGACAGGCAGACAGACAGGCAGACAGACAGGCAGACAGACAGACAGGCAGGCAGGCAGAGAGGAAGACAACAGACAGACACGTGCGCGTCGAACCTCTATAACTTTACTCACGGCTGTACACAGCCATCGCCACAAACCGACACCCCCAACATAGCAGAGAAATACCAAAACCACCTCATTACACCCCCCCTCGACCCCCGCCCGACCACGTGCCCGTGTCCAGGTGGAGCTGTGCCCGGGGCAGCTGGATGTACGGCTGGATCCATTGGCGCAGGTGTGTACGGCAAAACACCCTTAGTCCTTTCCTTCCCCGCTTTCCCGACCCCTTTCACAATCCCCTTCCTACCCAACTCAATCTAAATCACTGGGTGCTTTTTGGCACCTCCTGTAACTGTTCTTGGCTTGTGGCATCCTCACGTGATCCCCACGCGAACACGCAACCCGGGCCCCCGTAACCCCCACCCCCACCCCCACCTACCAACGCCAACCCCACCCCCAAGTCCCCTCGTCAACTCATTTTGAGTTCAACCTCAACCCCCGCACGAATAAACACACACACATACACAAACACAAACACATGTGTGCGCTGCATTACCTGACGGGGTTTGGGGGATTGAAATCCATGCCAGGTGTTGGACGACATTGTCGTACAATGGAACGATTTGGCGCACCGGTGGGGATTGCAGCTTGTGCGCTGGCGGACCCATGACTTCTTTTTGGTGACTCCTCTGGACACGGCGGCCTCTCGTGGCGGCAAGAGGTCGCGGGTTCGAATCATGGCGGATGCGTTGCTGTCCATGGCGGCAGAGTTCAGGTGCGTGCATCCTCGTGCATGGCACACTTTAATGACGAAAACCTGGTACGGGGGGTTATCTCCACCAAATTTTGTAATTAACGCGTTGGTGAATGGGGAAGAAGCGTTTTTCGACGCCGCCCACTAGCCACCATAAACATTCCGGCAATTAAAAGCGTAAAAACCCCAAACTCGACACACGTTACCTCACTTTGTCCTCCTAACCCCTCCTCCACGATTTCCCCTTCTCCCCCCCCCACCCCCCAT